CTTATAATTCATCTAAAATTCTATTTTCAATAGATACTTAATTAGATGGAACAAATAGGTATTTAAATTAAACAACATTTTAAATTTCACATGTTTTAATTTTTAATAATATTTAAAAAAAAACATCAGTGAGACCTATGAAGAGACTTATTAGCTAATAATTTTTCAATATCTGGTGATAAATCTGATGTTGATAACAACATCAAATCTGAAATATGAGGCGCAGTTAACGAACTACGATATTTATTTTTGACATAGGTTAGAGTAGAAAAAGTTTTTTCGCAAATATATGTTGATCCAAATCTGCTTGAAATCTGCAAGGCAAGATCACACGTTGCAGGAAAGTCTTCTTTTGGTACTAATTTCCAAAATTTTAATAAATTTTCTGAAGACTGCAGTTGTGGTTGTGATAATACAATTTCGGTAAATATCTGCTTCAAGGAAACGTGGTTTTGAATTTCTGTGATTTCCAACTGGATATTGCATGAATATTTTTGTATTTCACTAAAAGTGATTGAAAATGGGTTCATGAAAAACAAAATATTATTTTTGTCCTTCTCAAAATCCTGAAATCTGTTCTCAAAAGACTGCAACAATAATTGAATTTGTGTTTGATATTTCGAGATGTCAGGTGAAGTATTTTCTAGTTTTCCTCTTATATCTACAAGCGTAGGAAAATGATCGATATTATTTCTAGTCAAATTTGTCAAAAAAAGGGAGAGTTTCGCTTTAAATCCATAAACCAAATTGAACATTATTGGTAACGAACAGTCCTTTCCTTGCAGCTTCCGGTTAAGTATGTTGAGGTGCTGTGTAATATCTATTAAAAACGCAAGATCGCATAACCATGATTCACTTTCAAGTAAATCTCGCTCATCAGGCATTGCCTGCTTTTCTACTAAAAATTGCAAGACCTCTCTCCGCAAATGAAAAAAATGTTTCAGCATTTCACCCTTAGATAACCAGCGGAGAGCACAATACAAATGTAACTCACCGAATTCATTGATTTCTTCTTCAAATAAAACCCTGAATTGTCTTCGATGAAGAGCTTTGGCTCGGATATAATTAATACAGCGTACTACAGGATCAATAACATCATTAAACTTCATATCTTTGGCACATAAAGCTTCCTGATGGATGATACAATGATATGAAAATAATTCCCGGCCTAAGAACTGTTTTAACAAGGCCACACAACCATTTATTTTTCCCCTCATAGCGGGTGCTCCATCAGTACAAACAGAATTAATTTTTTCCCACGCTATACCTTTTCTGTCGACACATTTCTTGATTTTCATAAATATGTCTCTTCTGGTACTTGTAGTTTCCAACTGGCTGAGCTCTAATAAATCTAAAAATACATTAAAATTTTCATCAACACACCTCACGAAGATGGCTAGCTGTGACATACTCGTCAAATCACAAGTTTCATCCAACGCCAATGAATAATACTTACATTTCGTTACGGTTTGTGTTATTTGGTTGCTAATATCGTTTGACATCTCCTCTACTCGTCTTGTTACAGTATTTCTCGAAAGTGAAATACCGTCTGCTTTAGTTTTTATATTTTTATCATTACAGTTATTAGAAAAAATTGATAAAGCCTCTTTAATAATTTCCCCATCAGAAAAAGGCTTTTTATTTTTGGCTAAAAGTAAAGATATCTCATATGATGTTTTTACCATAGATTCGAGTCCATCAAATTTTTTTACAAACAGATTCTGCAGACCAAATATTTCTTTTTTTTTCTTCTTTATAAACTCAGCTCTTAGAGAACTTCCTTCCGGGTAGTTTTTATTAATACTTGAATGATTTTGTTTAAAATGCCGTTCTAAATTATATTTTTTGGTGACGGTAATCATAGTGGAGCAAATAAGACATATGGGCTTCAATGCTTTGCTTTCAGTAAAGCAATATTGCATCTCCTATTCTTCGTGAAATGTCCGAGAACGTTCTTTCAATTTCGACGTAATTGGTTTGCTGAGAGCCATTCTGGCTTAAAATTAACAAGTAAAAACACAGAATAAACGCAATTATTACAAAATAATTTAATAATTATTAAGTTGTACGTATTATTTTTACGACCGTAGCAAAAGGCGGGTGCGGAGCGACTGATTTTGGTCGCTGTTTGTACAATATTTCGAATAACAATTTATTATCTTAACTCGCCGATATACGACGACTACGTCGACGGACAATCAAGATAATCTATAAACATAAAAATAATACCGATTAACATCGCGACAAATGCGGGTTGGGGTAAAACGCATCCGGTCATCACAGGAAAACCCGATAACATTGCTGTGTGGAATGGTCCTAGTGCTAATTTGATACACACACTATATAAAATAAAATATACAACAAAATTTAAACTTAAAAAAAATATTAATAATAATTTAAAATGTCATAGACTATAGAGTATAGATGTTGGCGGGCAAATCCAAAAGCGTTGACGGGCCTGGGTTTGGGCACCCTTGATATATTATTAATGTTCAGAATTTTGTCATAGAAAAATGTCAAAACAGAATATTAGATTTTAATACAAACATTTCCGTAGTTAATAGTTTTTAATAATATGGTATCAGTTTATACGGGTATACTGATCACGGGGCACAGGTTGTTTCAGTCTAAAATTATACGCGATTTTGTTGCCCGGTGACGACTGGTTTCGTAATCTTCCTACCGTATCCGTAAGAGCGACCGCTGACGGTGCCTTTTACGTGTAGGTTTATAATATTATTAAATAATACGATCCTGCACGCACATGCGCCGTACGCATAGCACATGCACTCCATAGGCGACGATTGAGGCGGCATGTAAACATTGGCTCGGCCGAAAAAGTACACGATTAATGTACAAAATAATTATGTGGTACTAACCGTAGTACTGTATTACTGTGTTTCCTATTCGTGTCTATTGTTGATTTAATAAAAGTCTTATTGGTTCTTGTACGCAAAACTATAACGATTAGCGATATTATATTGTTGTATACTACTATACTGTATAGTACATTTTAGTACAAGTGACTTGTCATTGTGTCACATTCTGGAACTATGGATCCTATAAATGATTCAGTAATGATATTACTTAAAAAGCCTTTTAGGCGTTGGAATAATATTCATAAAAATTATTTGATTAGAAAAGGTAAGCCAACTTTTTTTGTCGTGCCAATCACTTGACAAAAAAGGTGGCAAAGTATTTAGTCGACAGTTTAATTCTGCATGGTATGATTTGGATTCTTGGCTTTGTGAAAGCTATTACAAACAAGCGTTATTTTGTTGGCCGTGTATACTGTTAGGACAATCAAAATTTGTCTGGTTGATAGTTGGTTATTGTGATTTTAAAAACTTATCCCGTTGCGTAAAATTTCACGAGTCATCTAAAGAACATATTTACAGTTACTTGGAGATTAAACGTTTAGAAAACAATAGTGTTACAATTTTAATGTTATAATTTTTGTATAATTATTTTTTGTATTATTATAATGATATAATATTTTTATATCATTTATGACTGATAACTCTGTTAAAATATAAATTCCATTTTTATAGTCTTCTCTTTCTTTCCAAGTATCCAGATGGAAATCTATGAAGTCGGCTGAAATTTTAAATCTTGAAAAAAAGTTGACTGTTTCTGGTGATACAAATTCATGTAATTCTTTTTATATAAATGTTTTTATACCCTCTTTACTCAAAACAATTTTTTTAATTGTATCATCATTGTTCTGCGTTGATTTAAGTGCTTCGACCATTTTAATTTTAATTTCGGTTGGCACCCGAAAATCAAAAAATGATAAGGCTATACTTTCCGGCGCAAAATACCATAAGTGTCCACAAAATTTATGTGCAGCTGTTTCAGGAATAGCTTTATCTGGGTATTCGATTAATTTTTTTAAAAATATAAAGTCATTATAAGGTGCTTCGATTGCAGCAGGGCATCTAAACCATGCTTCTACGTATATCGTAACTAGAAAAATACATATATCTCGAAATGTATTTTCTTCTCGAACATTAAGTTTAAATTGTTTTCGAAACATGTATATTTTGAATAAATAAATTGCCTTTGACATCCACCTGGCATGGTGAAAAGCACCAGGATAGTGAAACAATATACCATTTGGTAGGTTTTCACCTAGAAAAATAATAGTCAACTCTAGAATTTCTTTGTAATCATCTCTACATTGTTTTTTTTTTAAATTTTGTAAACAGAAGTCTATAATTTGAGATTTATTTTTTCCAACTATAGATTTTACAAATGCATAATTTATTCAAATTTCATACTTTTTTAAGTCAATTTCGGGCCACGCTTGTTGGAATTTTTTAAAAATAGGAACATCAGGACCAATAGTATTTATTTTTAATTTAACTTCAAAAACACTTCTTAGCACAGTTCGTGTTTGACAGTCGACCGTGCAACACGTGTGTACCGTACCTCGATTTATTAGCTCCCGATAGCAAAGTAACACAGCGACACACATGGGTAATATGCATATACTATATTTTAAATATAATTAGATAACAAACACGCACCGTCTATAGTCGCTCAGATAATGAGCGACAACCCTACTGCCGACTCCCTGGGAGCGGTAACATCACTATCTACAATCCAATTAAAACCTCAACCAATTAACAATATCGATAATAATGCTCGCGTAAAATTAACAACATCACCAAAATCTCCGAAGTCCAACCTCACGTTAAGCAACAACAACTCTCAATCTAACAACATTTCAAATATAGATACAAACAATGAAATCGTAAAATCTCATACAAAAAATTTTGCTGAGGCAACAGCAACTAATGCCTGTCCTAAACTTAATCAAGCTATAGTCTTTAAGGCAATCGATGGCGTTAAACAAATAGACTACCTTTTAGCAATTAGTAAATTCACAGCGCCCGCAAATATGACTTCCGCGTCACGCATTTCCAAAAACCGTTTCTGTATCTTTTTCAACAACCAAAACACAGCTAACGAACTGGTTAAAAACCATCAGAAAATTTTAATTAACAATGAAGAAATTATAATAAGAAAGTTGATAAATCCGTCAAAAAGAATCACCTTATCTAATGTATACCCCGTTATACCTGATAGCTCTATAATCAAAGCTTTACACGAAATAGGAGTCCGTACCACATCAGCATTATTTCCATTAAAAACAGTTAGCTCTTCAGAATTATTCGCGCACGTCACAAGTTTCAGAAGACAAATCTACATCAACCCCGAAGACCACTATAAACTACCTGGCTCTCTTGTCATAAAACAAGAAGAAACTTCGTTTCATATCTTTATCACAGATGACACATTAACTTGTTTTGTTTGCAACCAAAATGGTCACATTTCCACTTCATGCAGATTTAATACTGAAAGCAATCTAGAAACCAACAAAACCACTCAATCTGATTCTAATAGCCCTAACACTCACTCCTTATATCCACCACACCGCACCATACCTATAGAAATCGATATAAACGGCTCAACACAAATGGAAATATCAACAAATCAAAACAACCAAGTAAATCTTAACGAAAAAGCCAATCTGCCCATATCTCAAATAGAAAAACCTATGGACACCAATATATCAGCCCCAATAAATGAGGAAATAGTAATTAACAACAACTACCAAGATATACCTAACAGCGAAGTCATAAAAGAAACATACAAACGCCCAGCACCTACATCAACATGCCCTTCCTCCCCTTCCCCTCCCACTTCACCAAGTCCCACATCCCATAATATCTATTCTACACCCGAAAACTCACAAATCGGAAAAAATAAACCAAAAGATAATAACAAAAAACCAAAGCTAGCGGACAAGTTAAAAGATAGTGTATCAACAAAAAACCTAGATTCAATTAATGAACAGTTAGCACCTGCGGAGCCATTGTTTGCAATAGACGATAAAATACCCATGTCTCTCACACAGTTCAAATACATTCTAGAAAACTCCTCCAATAAACTTATTAACATCCAAGATCTGTGTAAAGGGTCTGGCACCGACATAAAGAAACTATCTGAAACAATCGAGATAATAAGACCTTCACTCGTTGACAGAAGAATTAAGACCAGGTTGACCAAACTCGCCAACATCCTTTTCCAAATCATCCCTCTCGACGAAAACCAAACGGATTCACCACTCTCCAAATCGTCATAGCCCTTCTCACTATCTTATCCTCCCTTTCTAATAACTTTCTTCATCTCTACTCTCTCTCTCCCCCTCCCCCTCAATTTCTATTAATCCTTATCTCCAAGTATGAATTCATTAATTCAATGGAACTGCAATGGTTTTTACAAACACAACACTGATATAAACCGTATTAAATATGAACAAAATCCAGACATTATCTGTTTACAAGAAACAAATTTCAAAAACCTCCACATAGGCAACATTAACGGATACTCCGGATATAATAAAAATCGCCCCGACGCACTCAGAGCCAGTGGCGGAGTCGCAACATACATCAAAAACAATATTAACAGCAAGGAAATATATGTCAACTCAAATTTGGAAGTAATAGCAGTTCAGGTCATCCTCAAGACAACACTAACTATATGTAATATTTATATCCCCGACAGCACCCCTCTTTCTCTCCTTGATCTAAATTCAATAATAACACAACTCCCCAAACCTTTCTTAATCCTGGGCGACTTCAACAGCAGAAACTTCTTATGGGGATCATCGCACACTGACAGCCGTGGGAAAACGATAGAAAAATTATTAGAAAATCCTTCACTAATACTATTAAATAATGGCGACCCAACAAGACACAACTCAACAAACAATTCTTTATCAGCCATAGATCTAACAATATCCAGCACCAACTTTGCCCCTGAATTAGACTGGAAAGTACTAACTGAATATAATGGAAGCGACCATTGGCCTATCCACCTTAACATTTTCAACCAATCTACACCCGATGAACCA